CCATCAAAAGTAGAGATACTCTGGCCGAATTCCTCCCCTCTCCTCTCTCCTAAATCATCTTGCTTGCTATTGGTGTTTGTAAGCCATTAGAGGAGTGACATTTGTGACTCTAGAAGCTCCAAGACAACAAGATCAACAAGGAACTCAAAGGTATGATTCTAGATCTGTTTCAATGTTGTTATTTAACCTAATTAGCCATTAGAAGTCTTGGATTCAAAGCATGTTTAATTAGAAAGCCTAGATCCAAGCATTAGGGTTTTGCATGCGCACATAGGAAAGTTCTTATGGCTAAAACCCATCACTAACTACCTGAGAGATCTAAGAGATGGGAGAGTCAAGACGTATGGATCTACTTCAGGTAAAATCCATTATCTAACTCTTTTGAGTTCCTATTCTAGATTCTTAATACATGATGTGATAAGATTACATTTTGATTTTTTGTAGGATCGAAGAAAAGAGAGGAAGCTTGAGAAAAGAAGTGAGCTGAATCTAATCATGAAGAAATGGATTTTGATCGCATTACTTGAAGAATGGATTCTTGAGCTACTACTTGGAGTTAGAATAGATTGTTAAGAAATATGTAATAACATAGTTTTTTCAATTGAATTGCATTGTAAGGACAAAAAAAAATTTCCGCAATAAAATGAATTTTGATTTTATCTTATTTATTTTCCCTTGCGATGGCATGTATGAAAAATTGATGTTTGAATGTTTCTATTATTAGCAATAATGGATTTGATTCTTAATTGTATTATTTGTGGAAGTGTCAAGAGTTTACTAAGTAAGGAGAGTTTCTCATCGCCCAAGTTTCAATTGGACAGAAACTTGGAATCATGCAATGTGTATTGTATGATGAATGAAAAACCTTCACATTTGGGAAACTTAGACTAATTCTTTGGCAAAGTGTCAATTGAAGGACAAGGAGATCAAGTACACAAGGTTGTGTGTTGATCAAGTCCACCAAAAGAGTGAAAAAGATATTTGTCATGATTTACTAAAGCTTAGTAAATATGATTATACTTATAAGATTAAGTATAATTCTAAGTTGATTGAAAAAGTTTCAATGAATAGTAGAACGAATAAAGAAGAATCAAGTAGGCAGAAAGATAAAAGTTTCTCTATTCTAAGAAGAAGGGAGAGTACCTTTTATTGTGTTTTATGATAAGTCTTAAAGATTAAGAACCATGTCTCAATAGATCCTCTAAGTGAGTCTTAGTGCAATTGCATGTCTAAGAAGAGGTATCAAGTATTGTAGAAATGGTTAAATCAATAAGTCAATCATACTTCGTTCCAATATCAAGTCTTAGAGTCAAGATTGTGACATTGAGTGAAAAGTCTTAAGTAGGTTTATAACACTCATCAAATGTGGAATTTGGAAAAGTTTTCTTATTCTTGCACATTTGAAATTGGTAAGTTGTGTTGTCTTGGATAAGACAAAGACCAACTAGGACCAATTTGTTAAGTGTTTTGTCTTGATAAATGCTTCATTAACTCTTGAATATTTGTTTGTCAAGAAATGTTTCTTGACAAGAGAATCTTATATGTCAAGGAGTCAGTGGGGGTCTAAATGTATTGAAAGGTTTCAAGAACAAATCAAGAATAAACCTTATCGGTCATCACTAGCACACGACTTGAGGTTGACAACCTATCGTGCTGACATAATTTTGTTTCTGTGCCATTCCAATTGAATTAATTGTGTATGTGAGTTCTATGAATTCTCATTTGAATGCATAAAGACAAAGTAACTTGATCAATGGATAGTACATTGATATATAAGGATAAGTTACTAAACTACTTGGAAGACATGGTGGGCACTCGTGTTATCATAAGGCAAGAAATCAAGATTAAGAAAGTTCAGTCCATATGAGTTTGGATTTGTCGCAAACCTTGGTTTTTGGCAAATTCACATGAATAGGAACTCATACACCATAAAGTCTAAGTATCATAAGATTCCCTCTTTCATGAAAATGACTGTGAGGAAATGCTTTCACTAAGAGAGATCTTAAGAAGATAGCAATTGTGAAAATTGTATTCTTAAATTCGATTATGGTTACGGCATCCCTTTCCATAGTTCGAATTGTGAGATTTGGCAATTAGGTTGAACATTTGGAACTTAGTAACATAAGTTCTAGATTGTTTAAAAACACATATGAGCTATCTAAAGCAAAGGTGTATACATTTAAGAAGCTTAGATAAAGGCTTATCGAAGCATCTGGTATTAAAAATATGAATTTCAAAAACTCAATAGGCATTGTTTTCTGGAAGTTCATTTGTTTTCTGAATACATGTCAAAGCTAGTGGGAGCATAAATGTTATGCTTATATGATAATCATCATGATAGTGGGAGCATAAGAGTTATGCTTGTATAGTATTGCATGTTAGCAATATTAATTATAGAAAAACAAAGATTCAATTTGCAAAGTTGCATGGTTGAAAAATTGTTTTGCTATAATTAAGGGAGAGAATATTATACTTCGTTTCAAAATCTAAAGCTTAGATTGAGAAATTTTAATAAATTTAGTCAAAGGATACATAGTGTGTTCTCAAATTTCGATTTTGATTACGGCATCCCTCTTCATAGTTCGAATTGTGAGAACATGACACATAAAATATTATGGCAAAAGATTGGTAAAGTATCATATCTTTATGTAAGACATTATGCATCGTGTCCCATACGCTTCGGGTATAGGATCGATTGCAAATGCTATAATATTTTACCATTCTAAAATTTTCCAAATGTCTAGCGCATTAAGAGGGAAAAAGGACTAGAATTGGTTTTGACTGAAAGAATTAAACAACTATCAAAGGACGATCCAAAGTTCGCTGAGGATTGATCGCTTGTAAGTAGTTGGAAGTATGGTATTGGATGGACCATATCGACATTATTATGAATAGATAAGATTCTATTAAGAATGAGTTGTCATATGGCAAATGTGGAAATGTTTCCATATTGGGAGTTGGATATTGAGAGTCTATGCCTAGATTAAAAAACTTTTATGCAAGAAGGATGTTCAAAGGAATGTACTTTGAATGTGAGACTTCACATCTATGGAATTGTCTTGTAACAATTTCTAAGAAAGTACTTTGTAATTTCATTAGCTAAGTCTTGGTGACTTTTGTGCTATGATTTTGCAAAGGGATCGTTGCATAAAATGTTAGAATCTAGCATATTCTAGTAGTGGCAAGAACCTTGTGTTCTTACACTAATAATTAGGATTAAGGAATTGTGAAATGAGCATCATTGGAAAAGTTTTCAGGTGATCTATTTCACAAAGCATGGACCATAGGAAACAAAGTGTGCATGTTTAGAGCATGGGACAATTGTTGTTGTAATTCAAGTAATAAGTTGATTATCCAAAACATTAAATGATAAATAATGAGTAATCAATATGGTGGATAAATAGAAGGGTTTTATTTACACTCACAAGTTTGGGGCCATATAGGATTAAGTATTGTTGTTATGTTTCAGTTTGCATGTTTTGACTTCCAGAATAAATAGGTTATTCAAACACCCACAGTCGGTCATACGTTGGGAGTATGTATGAACAAAGACTGTCATGAATCTATCTGTAGATTGTCTGAAGTGTTTAGACATGGCACAAGGTTGCTGCAGAGTTCATGAGTGCTTTGATAAGATTAGAGCATTGGATTAAACCCACGCTCACTTGGATCACTTCATGGTTTTATCACGAGTGATTAGTGAGACGATAATATTGTATATTCTTGAAGCCGAGACGTGTGAGTTGTTATTTGTTGGTCAGTTACACATTGATAATAAGTAAACGCACCAGTAACTTGGTGTTATAAAACTTATTATTGTGTGTGATTCGATCAGTAAATGCAAGCGAGCATTTGAGTCGAAGTTTATCCATTTCTTTTACCCAAAGTGGGATAAAAGCGATATTTGTGGGCCTCTCGATGATTTAGTGATGACACCTAAGCGCTTGGCCAAGCCGGGACTAAGTTGATGTGTTCAATTGTAGTCTGTTGTCAGTCGTCATAAATCGGAAGTCGGGAAACAGTATAGAGAGAATGATTGAAATTCATGTCTTATGTCTATACGATATCTTGAGAATGGAGGAATATATAATCCCTTATCTAGAGGACACGCTATCTGATAAGATCAGAGTTGACAACAGCTTTTGAAAGCTACGATTGCTGATCAGGTTCTGAAGTCATACGGAAAATAATTATTAGACTTATCCAAGTGGGAGACTGTTGGATTGGTGTCTAAGTCCATAACTATTTTGGTATGTACTTGACTCGATTATGAGCATGGTCCTTTTGGGTTGCCTTCACCATAGCAATATGTAGGATGATTTAAGGAGAGAAAGGTTTAAATATGATTTATTAATATATTATGAGAATAATATATTAAAGGAGAAATCATATTGGTTAATTAATATTAGTCAAGAATTAATTAAGAATTAATTTTGTGGCTAAAAGAGATTAATTAAACTTAGGGGGACTAGACTGCAATTATTGGATAATTGAGTTATTGGGCTTAGGAATGCTAAAGGATCAAGGGGTGAACGAAATTATGATGGAAGCCCATCATATTTTCGTCCATAGCCTTGTCCAGAAGGTTCCATGGGCTGCTTAGAGTTTAAGCTGTCCATTAGGGTTTTGACTGAAACCCTAGCAGCCCACACAAGTATATAAAGGACCCCTTAGGCTCCAAAAACGTGGACAACTGATTCTCTAGGGTTTCTAGTCGTTTTTGGGCAGCCTCTCTTCTTCTCCTCTTTTATCCAAGTTGCATATGGTGTTTGTGACTCCATTAGAGGTGCAACACTTGAGGCACTAAGCTTTTGAAGCCAATCCAAGCAAGGAATTGATTGTTATTGCTATATAACAATCAAAGGTAATTATCTAAACCCTAATTCAGTTTATAATATGTTAGATCTAAGTTTATTAGTCTTGGATTCGAAGCATGTACAATAGAGAAACCTAGATCCAAGCATTAGGGTTTGTATGAGCACATAGGATTGTTCTTATGCTTAAAACCCATCAATAATAACATTAAAACAAGACAATTTGGATACAAATAAATTAAATACATGTAATAGCAAGGAAGTGGGTAATCCAGTAATCATGCTTCTTCCAATTACCACTGCTTTATTACCTAAAATTTCTACACTGCATCGATTAAGCACCTCAATACACCCTAAAGAGGCACAAGGAATAAACAAAGGCTCCCTTCCTCTCATTGCAAGGTTTCCCATGTTCACAGGATGAAAACCATCCACATCTTTTTCAACTTTTACTGCATTTAAAATCTTCTCCTCACACAAATGCTGAATCAACAATTACATTGGGTGAATCGATTGAAATTGATTGTAAAAGAAAGGGTAAAAGAGTAATTACATTGGGTAATGGAAGCTGGACAAGAATGCCATGGACTGATTCATTGTGATTTAACATTGAAACAACATCGAGAACTTCGCTTTCTGTACACTCTTCAGGAAGCTCTGTTACTATTGAGGCAGTTCCAACTTGTTCGCAAGCTCTGTACCCAAAAGGTAGAACCATCCTTATCCTCATCCCCACTTTTTATATTTGGGTAATACTCATTCCCGTCCCCGTTCCCGGTCAACTCGAGGATTTACCCGGTTAACTCGGGTTAGGGTTTCTGGTACCCATCGGGTACGGGTTTTTTTCACATCTCTAAACTGATAAGAGTGAGATTTCGTCTTAAGTAAACAAGTTGAAATGGGAAACCAAGTAAACATGTTTATCTACTTTTATGGTTTGATGGTACTCTAGTATTTGGACTCAACATTCCGCGTTGTCGAATTTGGACACATTTTTTCTAATCCATTTGAGTATCTAATTTTATAAAGGTTAATGCTTCTAGAAACAAATTATTTTCTATAAAATATTTTGAATTTATCAGAAAGTTATAAAAAAAAAACAAATTATTTGTTTTTAGTAAACATCATTAAAATAATAGTATTTAATGATTACAAAATTTCAGTCGCTTAAATGCTGATAATTTTGTCTTGAAATAATCATGTTTTTTGAAAGAAAAAAAAATCAGTATTCATTTATGATATTAATCCTTTTATAAATTTGAGACACATACAAGCTTTCATAACAATAATCTTTTTATAAATTTGAGATACATAAAATATTTTATGAACTTTAAAATACATACAAATTATTTGTTTTTTTAATAAAAATATTAAAATAACAGTATTTTATGTATAATAAATTTCAGTTGTTTATATTCTGACAAATTTTTCTTAAATTAATTATGTTATTAGAAAGTAATAAAATAATTTGCTACTCATTCGTGACATTATTCTTTTTATAAATTTGAGATACATACAAACTTTTATGACATTTATGTTTTTATAAATTTGAGATACATACAAACTTTTATGAAATTTGAAATACATACAAGTTATTTGTTCATTTAATAAAAAACCATTAAAATAATCATGCTTTTTAAAAAGTAATAAGATAACTTTCTACTCATCTATAACATTAATCTTTTTATAAATATGAGATACATACAAATTTTTATGACACCGATATTTTTATAAATTTGAGATACATTCAAATTTAAAGGAAACGTTGATCAACATACTTCATGTTTAAGAAAAGTTCAACCACTTTCTTGATATATCTAAACATTAACACTGTAGGGACTGTTAGTGAAAATTTTCAAAGAAGAAGGGGTTATAATTTATAATATAACAGTTAGCAAACGACAGAGTTTGAAAATTCGCTGTCATCCTCGGACGTTTGACTCATTGACTGAAATTACCACGTGAGCTTCGACCTTCATCCGCCGCAATCGCAATAATATAATGGCGCCAAGGAAACTACTTTATCCGTTCTTCAGAGAAAATGAACAATCCCACCATCAATTCCGACTACGAGAATTCCGCCATTGTTTCAGTACTCCGGTATGTTATCTGCGGCGGAAACGTCGTCATTCCAAGCAGTAGTGAAACCGGAAGCTCTCAGAATCATCCGTCGCCGGTGGAGAATGAAATTTGCGGCGAATGTAGAATGCGAATCCCGGAACTCTGTTTGGGGTGTCAAATGTTCACCGGCGGTGGTGGAGAAGAGACGGAAAAGAGAACGAAGAAGAAGGTTTACAGAGGAGTTCGTCTCCGGCCGTCGAGGAAATGGGCGGCGGAGATAATGGTTCCGGGGACGAAAGAGCGGAAGTGGTTGGGGACTTTTGAAACTGCAGAAGAGGCTGCCAGAGCTTACGACGTCGCCAACATTCAGTATAGAGGAAACAGGGCAAAGACAAATTTTCCGGTGGAGGATTACCGAGAAAACCCCGACGTATAAATGATACCTAAGATCCAAATTGTAAATGGGACACAAATGGTGGGTAATATACATTGGTTATGTTATTGTAGATTTTGAAGAAGAAGAAGAAGAGAAGACAAGTTATTTTATACTTTCTCATACAACAATTATTCTTTAATTACTTTTTTTTTCCCCATATTTTTGGATGAAGATTTCATCCAAAGAGAAGATAAGTTTTTGTGTTTTTGTTTTCCTTATAAATAGATTAGATTATAAATAGATTAGATGTAATCGTGTTCACTAATAAGAGTTTTGAAGTATTAAACAACATAGTTTCTCTTGGCGTGTTATTCCTTCTATTTTTCCTTTTCTTTCTTGTTCATAAGATGCGATTCTTTAAGTTTAAAACAAACACTTGGTAAAGGTTGAAAAGGGAGAGCAACATAGACTTGTGATAAAGGGAGACCAACATAGGTGTGTTAAAACCAGACATGAAGGATCCATCAAAGCAGGTGGCTTTGGATTCAGTTCATTTGGTATTTGGCAGATTGAAATGAAACGGTGAAGCAGATGGCTTTGTTTTCTTGGTTCGTGTTGATGTCTCTTTGAAAAAAGGTGAAAGAAACAAATGAAAGAGATTGGAGTTAAAAATCGGGTGGCTTTGGATGTGACTAAAGAAGTTAAGAAGTGGACGTTGATCCGGGAAAGTCGATATGGTAATGATTGTGTCCAACTGGGTGCTATGTTACATGTTACATGTGTTGTGAATACGGGTTAATCGTTTGTTTACCGGGTCATGAATACGGGTCAATGGGTCAGTAGTTCAAATGGGTCAATTGGGTTGGTAGTCTTTTTTATGCACAAGTTAAATAAGGAAGTTGTGGGTTTGAAACCCTGGGTTGAACACTTTGATTTAATTTAGGGGACAACATGCCTACCATATCTCTAAATTATTTCTCTTGACTTTTTTTGTGACAATCAAATGAACTTTCTTCAAATTCTTTTCTAAGATCTTCTCCAACTGTAACACATTTTTTTGCATCAAAATTTTGTATAAAAATGATGCAGAACATGATAAATCTCCAGCCATTTGGAGAATAATATTACTCTATTTTTGGAGTTGGAAATGGAACATTACACTCACTACTTAAACTCATGAATAGACGAAGTGTAGTATGTTTATCAGTAAATCAGTTTGTTAAAATTAAAGTGAGATTTCTACTCAAAAACTTTGTAGGTTTGTTTGTTCTTATTTCACGTTGAAGATCGGTATATAAATATTAAATAGTTTGATTTGTTCTTATTTGTTAACTGTTTGAATATTGATTCGTTCAAACTTTCTAACTTTTCAAAGAGTCTTTAATGCAAAACTTCTACACTTAAATTATGGATTGTAAAATAAAAACATGTGATGTGATAATGGATATAGATAGTGCATGGTAACTTATTCATTTTGATGCTTTATGTTTTATTGTTTTTCTTATTTGTAGTTAGTGATCAAAGTGTCCCCATCCCATAGCCCACTTCCAACACGAAAATATTTTAATTTTTGGATTTTAAAACCGTTATTTTTAATCATAGTCATCATATCTCCTTAGGTAGTTCTCACAGGATCGATTACTATGGATTTCCTACAAACGTTTGTTTAATTTGCAGCTTTCATGGTCCATATATCGTTTGATTAACATGAACTTGTTCAACAGTTTCGGTGTCAAAGCTAGAATCATGATGTGTATGATGAACTAAACCAAGGGTGTAGGGTTGAGAAATGAATAAGAAAGTTGTTGTCGTGGGAAGATATGAGAACGATAATGATTATCATCAACTGGGATGTGGGAGGAGAGTCGTCAAAGCGTAGCCGAAATGTCCCCAACGTTGATGTAATGAGTATTGTTTGATTTGTTTCATTGTGATTTTCATTTGTCGCTTTTTATAGGCATTTCATTTCATATATTTCAGATATTTTTCATAGCAAACGAATGCAATCCGTGTGTGAATCGGATCCACATATTTTGTTATTTAATTTTCAGTTTATAACCCATCACGTTTCTTTCTTCATAAAAAATTCACTCTTAAATTATGAAATGCTGAAACTGTTCCCTTTATTTTTTTGAGTGCTACAAAAATGTTTACTAGCCCATTTTATTGTTTTGACATCAAATTTCTTATTTCTTCCAATATGCCTATAATTTGTGTCATGTTTTTGTTATATTTTAACCAATTTAATTTTTCATTATTTAAGAACACATTACCAAATTTAAAAATCAAAATAAATGAGTGATTGTATTCCTTTGAGCATAATAGATAACGTGAACTTCACATTGTTATCGAATCTAGAAAAATAAAGTTGTATAATCTGAATTCCATGTTATATACAATCTCTAAAATTCTTATGAATGATATTATCTATAAAAAATGCAACCACTTATTAATAATAGTTCCTTATCATCAACATTCGACGGTTGATGGTCGTTCATATAGTTGTTAAATAAGCAAAAATTAGTATATATAATATCTTAAACTATTCATGTAACACTGGTCGTTATTAGTACATGTAAGTAAGGATACTATTAAATGAATATAATGCCATTTGATCAATGTTGTTAACAAATACGTTTTATTTCTCTTGAAATTGTGACAAATCAAAATACATATTAAACAAAAAATCAACAAATTTAACCTGAACATATTAACTAGGAAATAACTTTTAGCAATATGAATCACATTGTATAGAGAAAAATAGTTAGATTAATAAGTCGAAATGTGTGATATATTTATATACAAAAAAACATTTACATATTGTTAACTTTTTGTATTTAATTAAAGATAGCAAATATTTCTCATTTAGAACAATATTTTGATAGAAAATTAATATCAAGAATATTAATAAAGATATATATGAAAACTCCACGAGTATATTTGTAAGATTTGTTTAACCTCGAATATCAAAAATATAAAAAATATATTGGCAAAATATAAATAGCAACATGGTTCATTAGTTATGTCTCTTTGATTATGCTAGCCAAATGTTTCTCATGAACAAGCTTGAAATTATGTGATGTTGATTCTTTTTGGTTTGATGGTATTAAATCCATCAATAATCTCAAGCTTGTTGATGGGAAGCCTCTGGCTAGAAGCTTATAAAGGGAGTTTGGTTCAATATTTCTCAAGTCAAGATGGGTCTTCACTACAAAGGCATTTCATTGAATAATTTGTTTAAAAACGTGGTGGGATGTAGACACAAGACATACTTTTTGAAA